TTAATATTATTAATAAGTATTTCGTGCGCACGTTAAACTTATTGCGTGGCCACGAAATAGTATTTCGTGCGCACGCTAAACTTATTGCGTGGCCACTATATATACTACTTTGTGGCCACAATTAAATTTTTTTTTTGACCATGTCATCAGAGCACTGGGCTCCGTACCTCATTGCCTAGGATGAGCTGCTTTTTTATCTCTGATGCACAGAAAATACCTTCCTATGCATTCATGACCATCTTTAAGATGGAAGTAATTGCTTTAATCTAAGGTTCTGCTGCAGACACGTTTTCTAAAATCAGAATGCATCCAAGTATTTGGTTTGATAACACTTGGAAGAAAGGATGCTTATGCTTTCTATCTGTGGTGTGGTTCGGACCACAGTCTTAAAATCATACAAAAAATGACTCAATGTTCTGTTTTTATGCCTTATTTGTTTTAGAACTCCTGGTTACTATTTTTTGCATTCCTTCCATCAATTTCAGATATATTTCCAGAGTGGTGTCCTGTGTTTTTTTCACTTTCACTGCAGCTTTATTAAAAAAGAAAAAAAGAAACTGATAAGTATTTAAACACATTAAAATATTTATCGGAGATTTATTTAAGTGACCTTCTCTAAACTAAGTTTTGTTTGCACGTCAAGCATGTTTGTGAACACTGGGGCGGAACTCAATGGTAAAATAAATGATTCTTATTTCAACCGTTGCGTATATTAGCTGCAACATATGAATCGGGATGATCTGTCCGAAAAAATGTGATTGACAGATGACTGTTGATATATGATTGGCCGAATTTAGGTGTACAAGCTGACGTATAACTAACTGGCCTGCATAAGATAACGGAGAAAAAAAACTGATTTTAAGAAATTTTCTTACTTTTGGGACTATATTGTCAGATAAAGAATACATTTATATACATGTTTAAGTCAGAATTATTTGAATATCATTTAAATATGATTTCCCTACGACTTTAATCTAGTGGATATTGTATCATATTGTGTATTCTGATTGATTGTTGTACAGTGTCTTTGGGTGTCCTGAAATGCACGTTAAAGAAAATTTAAGATAAGAATTATTAAAATACATTTTTTTTAAAGTAAAAATTATTATTAATAGCAACAATCAAAGTCTCTTACCTACTATGACTGTTAATCTTATTAATTTTTCATGCTAAAACTCCTTTTAATCATTCCTGCAAAAGTAAACACCAGCTCAGCCAGACAGAAGCTGCTGACCTGCAGGTCTGTTCAAACATGGCAGAGCTACGTTACACAACATCAGAAGGATGTGATGTTAGGATCAGTAAAGCAAAGTTTTAAAGGGGAAATGGGGGAAAGAATTCTTCTGTTGATAATCAGTTCAGTTAATCTGTCTGTCATACTATTAATAGAGTTACTGTTGAATATAACCAACTCTTAACCTCAGTTTGTTCTATGGGCAAAACCAGACTTGATCTACTAGTTTAAACGGTTCAGCATAAAGCTGTTAATCACAGAAGGATCGCTGATGTCGGCCGCCTCCCAGCTTCAACATCAATCAAATGATTGATGATCCAATTACATGGATGCAAAATAAAAACATTGATCCAAATGGTTAGTTTTTAGATATATCTTCTTTTTTTAATTCATAAAACATGAGACTATAGGGAACTGATTGTATATGTTAAATGAGGAAGTTATGTCCCCTAAAAAGCAGCTGCGCCTTGGGACTTCCCCACCGGTTCTTTTCCTGGGAGCAAATTACTTACTACTCTTAACTCAAATTGGGTAATATCATATAAAAAAGGACTATTAAAACAGGAGTAAAAAAATAACAGAGTTTATTCCACATCAGGTCGTTACAGGACAGAGAAATTGCTTGGAGCTTCCACAGCTGTGGGCTCAAAAAATCACGTCCACGAGCGTCCGGCAAAGATTGTGGCCCGAACAAGGTCATCTTCTCCTTCTTATAGCTCATGAGTCTATGTGTTGCACCTGGTGGATGCTTAGCTGTCCGTATCAGAAACTGACACGCCATCCATGCCCAAGGATTACAGATAGCTCTCCTCTATCAGACCGGCTCCAAGATGTGCCCATATCCTGTGTATTTTTAGTAGACTCCAAGATCATGTGCATAGATGTATAACTTTCTCTTCTGTTGCCTAAAACACCAAATCTAGTTCTAAAAAGAGCATTTATTCTTTATTTATCATCTTTAATGTTTTAAGTGTCAAAGTGAATGTGATCTGGGAAACGCAATTCGAAAAGGTTCTAATTGGTAAAAACTCAACAAAAAAAATGCAGTAAAGAAAAAGTCTGCTAGAAAAAATAAAGATAAAATATTGAAAATAAAATGGGAAAATATAAAACAGATAAAAACGATTATTTTGAAGAAAAAAAATAATTTGAACCAATAAAATCTGAAAAAAAAAATGAAATGACAAAATCTGAGAAAAGTTCATTTCTTTTTTTTTTAGTAAAACAGGTTTCAAACTTTCATTACTGGGTTGATTTTTTTTTTTTACTAGTGAAAAAAAAAGAAAAAAAAGGAAAAAAAGAGAAAAAAATGAAATGACAAAATCTGAGAAAAGTTCATTTCTTTTTTTTTTAGTAAAACAGGTTTCAAACTTTCATTACTGGGTTGATTTTTTTTTTTTACTAGTGAAAAAAAAAGAAAAAAAAGGAAAAAAAGAGAAAAAAATGAAATGACAAAATCTGAGAAAAGTTCATTTCTTTTTTTTTTAGTAAAACAGGTTTCAAACTTTCATTACTGGGTTGATTTTTTTTTTTTACTAGTGAAAAAAAAAGAAAAAAAAGGAAAAAAAGAGAAAAAAATGAAATGACAAAATCTGAGAAAAGTTCATTTCAAAAACCTTAATTGCTGGGTTTTTGTTTTTATTTACAAGGGGGAAAAAAGAAGGAAAACAATTTACAAAACATGGTCTATGATTGCCACACTAACCTAACAAAATTCATCCGTAGTTTTATTCCTCAGACAAAAAAGACCTTTTCTGCAGGATTAGGAGGAACTGATGTGTGGTCACTGAGTTGCAACATTAAAAAAAAAACAGAATCTCTACACTTTCTGCTCCAGGATTATAAATCAATTTGAATCTCTGGTTTAAGGGAAGAATCAGCTGCAGGCTGAGGGACAATGATGGAACAGTTGATGCCAAGGCTGCTTTATTGGTGCCACATCAGCGTCCTGAACCTGAACTGCGTCCCTTTGTTTCGCTTCCGTCATATTTATAGTCAGGAATAGTGCGGTATGCCTGTGCATGTTTTATGGTCTGCCATACTTTATGACTGCTGGCTGTTTGTATGCACGGGAACAGAGAGGGTCAAAGGTGAAATCAATAGTGCACCTTAATGAGGTTGTCTGAAAAGAGGGGAAGGTGTGTGTGTGTGTGTGGGTGGGTGGAAAAGAGGTGAGAGGAAAAGAGGGGTGATAGGAAGAAACAATGCATGATGTGGGGGATGAAGAGGCTCTTAGAGCTCTCAGGTGGGTGTTTGGATTACTTGGCCACCGTTTTAGTCTAGAATTAACTCATTGATGGTCGTTTACAAAATGTTAACAGCTGAAGAATTTACCGACACCAGCTTAGGCTTCTTCAGACCCACTGATTGATTTATCAATGATTTTCCCTAAGATGTTAGAAAGCCCTGCTGCTGTGCTTGATTAAAATGCGGGCTTTTCTCCTTTAGGGGAATGAGTTGTAGTAACCTAGTTGGATCAGAGTTACGTAACAGCTTTAGGAAGAAAAAAAACAACAGCATGACCCGTCAGCGCCGCTGCTTAACATGATGCTGTTTTCGTTTGAGTGAAAAACAGCAATAGCTTCTTTAAAGATAGGCTTTTGTGCCACTATGACCTCATGAAACTTGTTGATATCGTGTCCCTGTGAAACAACGTGATTTGCATTTATTTTTTTTGTTTCCATTTGCATCCCAGTCAGGATGTGTGGGTTGGTTGTAGTGAGTTCTTCTGGTTGTGCTGAGAGAAAGCTTTCTGCAGGCGCAAAAAAAAAGAGCTGAGGAAACGTATGTCAGCTTATCTTTGTCCTCCAGGGACAGACGTCTACTATCAAAGGGGTAAGAAGAGTTTATTTTAGCAGAGAGGGGGAGTATTTGTTTCATAACCTTTTGGATATCTTTAAAACATGTCAGTTTCTTTATTAACATGTGCATTTACCTTGTTTACATTCATGCTAACTACAGTTTATTAACTGAAAAAAGATCTGCTGATCAATATGTGATTGGTAACGTGAAAGGATGATGGGATTTACTACAGAGGGACCGATACTGTACCGACCAATATGTGCATGCGCTGGAGATTAGAGCCTCCATTAGCTTTCCGTTCTTGATTTATTAATTTAAAAAACAATTATTGAAACCTGTATAACAGTTGCTTTAATTTGATCATGTAAATAGAGAAAAGAAATGTTAGCCTGAAGAATTGGCCTAAAAAATCAGCACATATGAGGGATCGGTTAGACGGATGTCAGAATTATCAGTATCATCATTGGCCTTACAAAGAAGAATTTCTAGCTCTAATTGGAACAACACTACTGATTGCTCACAAACTTTGATTCTAGATCTCAACGGTTTGTGCAAAATTTGCCATATAAATATTAAGTGATCAGTAAAGATGCACCGATCTGGCTTTTACCGGCTCATATCATTAGGGTTATACCAGCTCTTTCTAATTTAGACTGATTTCTTTTTGTTTTTGGCTTCATAGAATCCAATTAGCTGTCTTTAAATAGATGCATTAAATCCCTGAGAAAATTTGAAACTCTAATGATAGGTTTAAAGTTTTGTTCGAGTGGCAAAAAATTGCTGTGTATATTTTTTTTTATTCTGTCGATAATCTTCAGCAATAATCCAACAAAATTCATGTAGATTATTGGGAAAGAACACAACGAAGGTTCACGGTGTTATCTTTAAACCAAAACAATATCGTGGTGTTTTTTTTACCCACTCCCACCTGTTCCTGTGATCAATCGTTGGTTTTCTTCCACAGGTCTCTTCACGTCCCCTCGGTGTTTTGTAATCAATGGCAACCTCGGTCCAAACTCTCCCTCTGACGCGTGGCCCCGACCAAAACTTCCGCAGCCCTTTCCCCGCCGCTCCGCTCTGCGGAATGGGAAGCGTAGGCAGCCTGGTGGAGAAACCAGATGTGTCTCCGACTAAAGGGAACCGCGCCGTGCCTCAGGTCAGACCCAGACAGACCAACGGCCTCCTGAAGAAACCCCTCACTCAGAGAGAGCTTCTGAACTACTTCAACATCACCAGGTGGGAACAGAGAGTCGCTCTTTTGGAGAACATGACAGTGAGATGTCCTTCTGACCTCCTGTGCTTCCAAACAGAAAAGATCCCAAAGCGGGTTCGAGCAGCGACGGCAAGAGGGACATTATCGGAGGTCGGGACGAGGAGGAGGTTTTCGCCAAAGTCTACAGTAAAGATGGCACCGAAATAGACCTGACCAAAAACTCACTGCCGAGTGGGGGCAAGTATGAAAAGGTGAATGAAAGAGAAACGAACTGAATTTAAAGAAGCTTCTATTTATTCAGCACCAATTGTGTTTGTTTTTTATTTGTCTCGTGTTAAAACAACAAGCTTAGATGTTTTTCAGTTTAATTTTAGAGGCAGATCAACTTAAATTTGCTGAACGTTTTTCACAAGCATTTTTTCAATCATCTCCAAGAGTCCGACTCTGTTGTTGAATCAACAATCTCTGTTGTCAGCTTTTTAATTTAAAAAACTTTAATATTTACTAATTTCTTCTGGCAAAATACCTGCAAACTTTGTCAAATTGGACAAATACTTTCCAGGAACAAGGAATTTTAAGCTTTGAGGTTTTTTGTCTTTTAAAAATTTTATCAAGATCTGCAACCTGCAGCTCTTTTGACCTACAGTCGCTCTTAATTGGTGCTTGAAATAATATTAATAACTTATGTACTATAATAAAAAATACAAGCCTTATGAGCTTTACTGTTTTTTATAAAGAATATTTGTATTGAATTTTCATAACAGAATGACATTGAAAGCACCAGAAATATCTTTCTAGGGAATTTCTCTTTTAATTAGATTGGAAATTGTTCGTTTTATCATAATTTTTTTTTACATCAAATAATAGCCTATAGAAGAATGCCTTATCCATATGCATTTTTTAAAAGCTAAAAATACAAATAAGCTCTTGCTTGATTAAGATAGCAACATGTTTCCTATGGCAGATATTTAACAAAAATAATAGGTTATTAAAAAAAAAAAAATCATGTAATATTTTGCGGCTCTAAATAACTTTTACTTGGCCAGACTAATGGGAAAATGGCATCTTGGATATAATAGGTTGCAGAACCCTGTTAAAGACTGACTACATTACAAAAATAAGCTTTTTTTTCTTGAAAAAAAGTGTATTTTCCCTTTATTTGAGCAAGTAAGACAATTTGCCAAAGGAGTAAAAAGATTTACATTTAAAAAAAGTTATCTGTTATCTTATTTTAATTGGATAATATCTAATTGTCTTGTAAAAAGGGGGAAAAAAAACTAATTCCAATGGCAGATCATCCTATTCATTGCTGCCTGAATCGAGGGTTAAAAAGGATGCAGCAGCATTGATTTCATTTCTTTATACGCTCTCTTCCTGTTCTCCTAGATCCGGTTCAGGTCTTCTGCATTCAAGCCCGTCACGCCCAAAAACTTCAGCTCAATGCAAAACCTCTATCCTTCTTCCAAGTTGGAGGATATGGATCACGGCCTTTCCAACGGATTGCACAGAGCGTACGGTCACGTCTCTAAAACCGTCTCCACCTCCTCTTCATCTTCCTCACCTTCCCGTCATGGAGGACCCACATCATGTGGTAACAAGGTAACTGATCCAGCCTTATTTCCGTAAAAGAAAACTTTTCTTTTTAGTTTTCTCTATGTCCTGATAAAACCTGAGGAAAAAAAATGGTTAAAAATTACCAAATTTTTCTGTTAAAGGTGAGATTTAAGCTCTGTTGACCATAATTCTGACTCTGCAGGCCGTCTCATCGGTGCAAGTGATGAGCCACGAGGATGATAACCTCTCTGACTCGGGTCACAACTCCATGAGCAGCCTGCCGCCGTACCGCCCTCCCTTCCGCCCACATTTGTCTCAGATCAGGTCAGGTGCTACATAGGCGTCTTCTCAAAACATCAAGGGTTTTATTCGTTCATTTGGGTCGGGAAAATGTGAGATTCTAAATAAGCTCTGTTTTCCACTCCTTCCTTAGTGCGTCCATGGGCCACATTAACACCATTGGCTCCTTGGATCGAACGCCTCAGGGCCTGAAGGCGGCAGGGGGCGTGGCTATGGGGGAGGTAGCATGTCGTAGCATGGCCACTCTGAACCGTCTGACTCCCTATGGCAGCGAGCCTCCGCCTCCTTACGAATGGACGCTCTCCCTGTCAGTGGAAGACGTGGTAAGAGCAGGACCAAAGGAAAATGGCCGACTAACAGTAGGCTATTTATAGATTTAAACGTGTTCTGATGATACCCTTAAATAAAGTCTCACTCTCTTTTCTAGGTGCGCGATCTGGAGGAGCGTCTGGTGGAAAAAGAACACGAGCTGAAACAGATGAGAAGGAACTTGGATGAAAGCGAGGGCGCCATCGCTCAGGTGATTCTCATTTTATTATCTCTACCTTCAGTCCAGACATCCCTTCATTTATCTAAGCCACGCCCCCCCACTGGTGGTCCTGCAGGTGTTTGAAGGGAAACAGCGTCTGTGGGAGAAGGAGGTGGATGAGCTGAAGCGGCTGTACGCCGCTAAGCTGCGACACGTCTCCCAGCACACCCAGCGGTCTCAGCGCAGTTTGCAGCTGGAGCTGTTTAAGGCTCAGCAGGAGAAGAGCCGCCTGCAGGCGGAGCTGGACAGCCTGAGAAAGGAAATGAGCCGAGACGTCGCAGCCGGACCGCAGCCGACCAGTCCGACACTGGAGGAGACCCGGTGGGAGGTGAGAGTGAAGCCTTGCAGCATGGTAAGCCCACCACCATGCTTCACTGTTGAGACAGTCCCATACCTTTTAGATAGTTTTTGGTAAAAAATCTTTTAAAAAATTTAAGTTTTGCTTCCTTAAAGCTACAGTGTGTAATAATTACAGGGATATACAGTCAGAAAT